GGGGAGAAGAGGAGCGGAGAGGGGCGGCCCGGCCGGCAGAGCGGCGGGGAGCGGAGCGGGCGGTGTCGCCATGGTGCTGGTGGTGGTGATGGGCGTCAGCGGCTCGGGGAAGTAGGTAGCGGCGGGACGGAGTCCGCGGCCGGGCTGCGGCCGAGGGGGGCTCTGGCACGGCGTTTGCCGGAGGGAGCCCCTCCGAGCCCCCGGGGGTGTCGGGCCCCTTGCCCGAGGCGGGGGGGTGACCGGCTCTTTGTGCTTCCCCTGCAGGACCACCGTTGGGTCGCGGCTGGCGGCGAAGGTACGGCCGAGTCACACCGCGGGGGTGTCGGCGCTGTCGGAGGGAAGTTTTCCTCCCTCCATCCTTGCCTCCCTCTGTCTCTCTCTCCCTCCCTCCCTCTGTCTCTCTCTCCCTCCATCTCTCCATCCCTCCCACGCAGGAAGCAGCCCAGGGCCAGCCCACCTGCAGCTGACCAGGGTGGCCGCCCCGTCCCCCCAGCAGGGTCTGGGTGTCCCTCACCACCTGCGCCCACTCTCCCTCAGCGCCCTGACGCATCAGCTGTTGGTGCTGCTAAGCTGGCTTTGTAATTTTGGCTAATTATCATGACTTAAATGGTGATTCATGATGTGGGGTAAGAGGCCTGTTGACTTCCTTGGTGTCATCGGTGTAAATCCTGGGATCCTTATTAACTCACCTGGTTTGGCTGAATGAGCCGCAGTTTCACTCCTTTTTTTTTTTTTTTTCTTAGCTGGGGTGGAAATTCTACGATGCAGACGATTATCATTCTCCAGAGAATAAAAAGAAGATGGCAGAAGGGATACCACTAAATGATGAGGTACTTCTTATGAACCCCAAAAGAGCAGTCATCAGCACATTTATCTCTGGCACATTGTGTTAAAGTAGATTGTGCTTTACGTAGAGAAGGCTGACTGTAAGTATAGACTGAATTTATAGGTCTGCAGCTGGTAAGGGAGGGCTCTGCATTAAAAAATAGTTTATGGTAGCTCACAAGGGGCGTGATGCTGATTCAGGATTTGTCAGAAATCTCTCCCTCTACATCAATATACAAAATTGTGGCTCTAGATTACATGCTGCTTCTTTGAGTTAAATACATGAAGACAGAAAAATGTCTCTACTGAGGTGCATTTCATCACTTCCAGTTACTACAGTGATTACTCCACAGTCTTCTGCTTTATACACTCCTACTTAAAATGTGCTTCCTTCCCTTCAGTCTGTTCTTCAGCCTAAACAGATCAAAACGCTCAGGTTCAGTTTTAAAATACTTATGAATTGAGAAAAGTCACAAGATGACACCTCTTGAACTTTTTCTGGGAAATCGCTAGAAATGTAACGTTGAACTAGGGAGTTCTTCACCCTCTATAGACTGAAAAAAATATTCTAGGTTCTAGTTAAAAACTTTAATCTTTCCGTAGTGGTTGGAAGTTCATATAAGCCAATACGCTGTCTAAAGCAGCGCTGCACAACTGAATGCCCTGAACCATCGGTGTGTTGTGCCCAGCAAGAGGGAAGCATCTCTTCTTAAACACCCGAGATGCGAAGCTGTAGGGGTGTTCTTGAGTGCCAGTGGGAAGTTATTCTGTAATGCCAACCAACAAAGAAATGTTGCATTTCTTTGTCTGTTTTGTTATCAATTGTTGCGCTCACCCAGCAGTAGCAGCACTGAAAGATGGAATGGGAGCAATGGTTTAATGCCTAATAGGTATGACAAAAGTTTGTGGGACCTTAAACTTTAAAACAAGATTATAAAGAGAAGCTGATCAATCACTCACGTTGTGTTTGCCTAACTACTGAGCAAAGGTTTTGCAAAATTGTGGCTATGATTACTTTTATTTGTGATTGCTGCTGACATAAAAATGACATAATTAAGTTATTGCAGATATCTGTATTTAGATATATCTGTTCCTGAAAATCTCAACTTTGATCCAAAGCATTGTGTGTGTGTGCCAAGATACAACGAAAAAGAAACACAATTCAGGGTGCACATTTGAATTGTATAATAGAAGCAGGAGAGAAGTTGGATGTCCTTCAAAGGTTTACAAGGTGCACGTGACACATAAATACATGTTAATTCCAGTAGATACTTGTAGGTATCTGTAATATAGAAGGTACAGTTACACTAAAAACATCTTATTGATAATATGGTTAGTACTTCTTGTTAGCCTTTGGGCAGTGGTAGCAAACCTACATGGGGAAGAAAGAGAATCAAAACCGAACTTGCTGTACAGTTAAATGCCAATTTTCATCTCTAGTCAAATGTTTCACTGAATTTCACTGAATTTCTAGAGTTGGAAGGGACCATAGAGATCATCTAGTCCAACTCCCCTGCTGAAGCAGGATTGCCTAGAGCTAGAGCATGTTACTCAGGACTGCATCCAGGCGGGGCTTGAAAATCTCCAAAGAAGGGGACTCCACAACCTCCCTGGGCAGCCTGTTCCAGGGTTCCGTCACCCTCACCGTGAAGAAGTTTCTCCTCATATTTGAGTGGAACCTCTTATGTTCCAACTTGTGCCCGTTGCCCCTCGTCCTCTCGGTGGGAACCACTGAAAAGAGTCTGGCTCCCTCCTCCTTCAACCCTCCCTTGAGATACTTGTAGGCGTTGATAAGGTCTCCCCTCAGCCTTCTCTTCTCCAGACTAAAGAGTCCCAGCTCTCTCAGTCTCTCCTCATAAGGGAGATGCTCCAATCCCTGAATCATCTTTGTAGCCCTACGCTGGACTCTTTC